TCTGTCCCAAAAAAATAAATAAATGTTAAAAAAAAAAAAAAATTGAAAAAAACACACAGCAACCTGATAAGAGGAAAGGGGGAGGAAAATAAGAGATTACCTGTTATTACCCAATAGTCTCTGGTTGTTTCCGATATATCAAGGTTGGGATATTCCAGTGCTAAAACAAATAAGAAACACACCAAGTTACTTTCACAGTTTTTATATGTAAATATTACTTAGGAAAATGGACATACATAATAAAATATCAAACAACTAAATTCAGCTTTATCATTCTTAGGAACTCCAGGATATACAGGCCAAAACTATTTCGCTGTTCTGAAAAGTAAAATGCTTAGTAAAGGGATAACTTTCAGATGAAGCGGTTTTTAGGGTTTGTAAATTTCTGCTCTTCTGATTTTTTCATCAGAACCTTCCTAAGTGGAACATCTTCACTATCAAAACTCACAGCTAGAACCTGTCTTAACTATAACATTCTTTGTAAAAACTATCCAACCATCACTAATATTTTTAGAAATGATCCTCTCTTGAATGGATTTTTCCAGTGTCAAGGACTAAGTTTATTATTAGCCAAATGTTTGTGACATAGTCCTGGTTCTTTTGAAGGTATGGTGGCCATAAGCGCTAATTCATGTAAAGGGTTTAGCGCAGAGCCTGGCACATGGTAAGTGCTCAATAAATCTTAGTTGTTGCTATTATCAGAATATCAAGAGGAAAGAAAATAAATTCTTCACATGCTGCCATGTGACATAATGCCATCTTTCATGACATTGTCCTTTCCACAAAATTCAGAGTCATCTTTCTTTACTATGTGGAAATTCGCAAAAGCTTGCCATTTAAACACTCAAAACAATTCTGAGTGGCTACTGTGTGCTAAGTACATCCACATACACAATTTCATTTATTTAAAGTATCAAATGCAACCACAGAAGGAAACAGAAAGTTAAAAAAAAAAAAAAAACTTGACCAATGACCTTGAGAAATGTATTAACAATTACATTTAAGAGCACAAATCTTGACTTCCTTTGGCTACCAAGTAAGTGTTTGGGTACAAAATGTAGGCTGCACTGTCTTTGGAGTCTATGCCTTCTGCATGGTAATGAGGATTATATAACTGAAACATTAGAGGAAGAGGAGGCTACAAGACTGACTATGGGGACTTCATCCAGTAAAGTCACGATGCTGATTGCAAATGAGTTGCATTATGTTATCTATAGCCAGGGCAAGGGCTGAAGGCCCGGGAACATTTGCTGATGACACAAATGGGTGGAAACCATAGCAACCCAGAAGGCCACAAGGACAGACGCCCCACAGGGCAGTTACTGTAAGCTCAAAGGCAGACTGTTTGGGTTCAAGCCCTAGGTTCCATGTCTCATTAGCTGTGACAGTGAGCATCTTGTTACACCTCCTGGAACTTCAGTTTCCTCCTTTGCAAAGTGGGGCGCATTCTGTACTACTATAGGGTGCTTTGTGAGGATTTGATGACATAAGATATGTGAACTGTAAAGGCACCTAACCAATGCTTTTGTTCAGTGTGCAATATACTTGTTATCAATTCAATCCCCGTTCATCACCGATTTCAGTTGTTTCACGATAAAAGAGTTAGTATGTGCCTGGCACAATAGACATTTGTTAAATGGGGAAGGGACCTGAGGGGAAGGGAAAAGGCAGTGTCCCTGTGAGGGGTGAACATACTCACGTTCAGCAATGGTGAGCGGCGGGTAGGTGAGGTAGAACCCAACCAGCTCAGCTGAGAGCTGGCGGAGGAGGCTGCTGGCGACTGTGCCGTTGAGGAAGGAGCTCCGATTGCCCACCACGTACACCAAGGTGACTGTCTGGGAGGCATTGGATGTGCTCACAATCTGAATCGACACAGGAGGAAAGGGGAGGGAGACATGCCAAATAAGATGAAGGTCTGTTTCATGGAAGCCCTGGGAGGAGAAGTTTAAGCGGAAGTTGAGGGCAGTGACGAGAGGGACGTGAAGAAAAGCAAGGAAGAGACAAGAATAACAAATACCCGTCATTTATGGATTGCTGGCTGAGTGCCAGGCACTGTGCTGAGGACACGTGATCTCATTCGGTTCTCACCACAACCCCATGAAGTGTATCCAGCTATGGCTCCATTTTACAGAGGAGCAAACTGAGGCCCGGAATGATCAAGAGACTTGCCCATGATCACATAGATAATAGATAATAAGTTATGTAGCCAGGATTCTAACCCAGATAGTCTGACTTCGGGTTTTAACCAGGTATGTGTATCTCTTCCAGGGGCTAAATTGTCTCAGGTTACATTTATGGTTCTGAAAATACAAAATAGAGCGTGGAAATGTTAAATCTAAGAGGCCTCAACTGCTCAGAGAAAGCCTGTGTTAAATGTGGGGGGAACCTTGAAGTTTCTACACAACTGATCATCACCCTAGCGAACGGGCAGAGTGATTAAACCTGATGACAAAAGGAATTCAGAAATATAAAACAGCCTCTTTTGAGAGTGATTACATTTCCTTGTGACCTATTAATTCAATATGGAATATGTAAATATTACTATGAGATCGTGTGGTTTTCTTCTTGAATTTTGTCTAAGTCCGTTTTCTCATTACTGGAAAATGCGGTTTTCTGGGTCAATGTATGGACAAAAATACCCCACAGATGAGATTTGAAAAACAGATGCAGTAGGAAGTTATTTAATTTGGTGAGATAGTGTGGGGTTCTGTGCTGGGTTCTGTTCTGTGCCCTCTCCCCTTCCGGATTCACTTGCCACCCACCCACCCACGTTTTGCTCAGTGTCCCGAAAGGCAGACACTGTGGACCACCTCGGTGGGCTCCTTTCCCTCTGGCTTCAGCTAAAAGGAGCTCGGGAGGATGTGAGAGACTGGAAGGAGAGTGGGGTCAGAGAACTGGTATGTCGGGGACTCCTTTCCCACAGTGGGGCTCTTATGGGGGCAGCTTTGGCCTCTGCCTCCTGTAACTGCTCTTTCCCCTTGCCCCATCAGGCCCCAATACTTATAGCCTTGGCTATAAGTGGTTTTCCTAGAGCCTGCCCATGCTTCTGCAAAGAGTCCCTTTTATTAGACTTTCTTCAAATTACCTTTATCTGAGTGTGACCTCTCTTCCTGCAGGGAGCCAACTGATAATCCTGTCTTTCCCAGACCTTTGTGTGTTCAGACATAAATATCCCTGCAACTTTCCTTTGAGACATTATTTTTAAAAAGATTGTCAAGAATACCTTCTTGTTATTTCTCACTTTTCCCATAAGTGGAAGTTGCTATATAATTTTCTTTAAAAATTTTTTTTTTTAATGTTCATTTATTTTTGAGAGAGAGAGAGACAGAGAAAGAGAGACTGAGAGTAGGGGAGGGGGAGAGAGAGAGGGAGACACAGAATCCAAAGCAGGCTCCAGGCTCCGAGCCATCAGCACAGAGTCCGACGTGGGGCTCAAACCCATGGACCACAAGATCATGACCCAAGCTGAAGTCGGATGCTCAACCTGACTAAGCCACCCAGGTACCCCTGGAAGTTGCTATATAATTTTCCAACACAGAGCCTGTAGTCCCATGATTAATGATACACTCAATCAACGTTTCTGGTCAACTCTTTCTCTCTTTTCTGAAAGTATTTTTGGACTGTGGTTGAGCCACAGGTATTCATGCCACCTTCCCAGGGTACCAAAAATAAAGGTGCTTCTCTCTGAACAACTCAAAAGACTCAACTGTACTGGCATCTAAAAGAATAATAACGAAAATAACTTTTTGACCATTATCTCCAGTGTGAACATTCTATTTTTTGCTTTTCAGCTAAACTAAATCTCACTGGATCCCAAAGATGCCTATAGAACTTGTAGTTTCTTCTACAGAAACTACACTGGATCCAGTAAGTTATAACTTAAAAAAAAATGTGGCAAAATACACATAAAGTTATCATGTTAACCATTTTAAGGGTACAGTTCAGCGGCCTTAAGTACATTACACTGTTGTGTGGCCATCACCACCATCCATCTCCACAACTTTTTCATCTTCCCAAACTGAAACTCTGTACCTATTAAACAACTCTCCATTTCTTCCTCTCCTCAGCCCCTGAAAACCAACATTCTATCTATTCATTTGACAAAACTGAACACCTTTTATAAGAGGAATCACATAGTATTTGTCCTGGTGTGACTAGCTTATTTCACTTAGCATAATGTCCTCAAGCTTCGTCCACGTTGTAGCATATGTCAGCATTTCCTTCCTTTTAAAAGATGAATAACAGTCCATCGGATGTATATACTACATTTCTTGTCCATTCTTCTGTGGATTGACACTTGGGCTGCTACCACATTTTGCCTGTTGTGAATAATGTTGTGAACATGGGTATACATATATATCTTCAAGTCCCCACTTTCTTTGGGTATATACCCAGAAGTAGAATTGCTGGATCATATGGTAATTCTATGTTTAATTTTTTAAGGAACCACCATACCATTTTCCACAGAGCTATGCCGTTTGAGAAGTTCACCAGCAATGCATGAGGATTCCAATTCCTCCATATTCTTACCAACACTTGCTATTTTTTATCTTTAAAAAAATTTTTTAATGTTTATTTATTTTTAAGAGAGAGAGAGAGAGGCAGAGAGAAGGAGACACAAAATCCAAAGCAGGTTCCAGGTTCCGAGCTATCAGCACAGAGCCCAACACGGAGCTCCAACTCACGAACCGCAAGATCATGACCTGAGCTGAAAGTGGACTCTCAACCTACTGAGACACCCAGGAACCCTTTTCTTTTTTCTAAATAGCCACCCTAATAGGTATGAAGCGTATAGGTGTGAAGTGGTATATTGTGGTTTCGATTTTCATTTCCCTAATGATTAGTCATGTAGAACATTTTTTCATGTGCTTATTGATCTATGTATCTTATTTGGAGAAATGTCTATTCAAGCTGTTTGCCCATTTCTTTATCGGACTGTTTTTATGTTTTTGAGTTGTAGAAGTTCTTTATATATTCTAGATATTTACTCCTTATCCAATATATGATTTGCAATTATTGTCTTCCATTCTGTGGGTTGCCTTTTGATCAACTGTGCCCTTTGATCTACAAAAGTGTTTTTTTTTTTAATTTTAAACATTTGTTTATTTTTGAAAGACAGAGAGAGACAGAGCATGAGTGGGGGAGGGGCAAAGAGAGGAGACACAGAGTCTGAAGCAGGCTCCAGGCTCTGAGCTTTCAGCACAGAGCCCAACATGGGCCTCAAACCCACAAACTGTGAGATCATGACCTGAGCCAATGTCAGAAGCTTAACTGACTGAGCCACCGAGATGCCCCAAAAGTGTTTAATTCTGAAGTATAATTTAACTACTTTTTCTTTTGTTGCCCATACTTTTGGTGTCATATCCAGGAAATCATTGCCAAATTCAATACCATGAAGTTTTCTCCTCTGTTTTCTTCTAAGAGTCCTATAGTTTTGGCTCTCATGTTTAGTTCTTTGATCCACTTAAGTTAATTTTTGTATATGGTGTTAGATAAGGGTCCAACTTCATTCTTTTGTTTGTGGATGTCCAGTTCTCCCGATACCATTGGTTGAAAAGATTGTCTTTTCCCCATTGAATGGATTTGAGGCCCTTGTCAAAAATCATTTGACCATATATGCAAAGATTTTTTTTTTTTGCAATCTTGTTTGTGTTCCATTTGTCTGTATGTCTGTCTTTATGCCAGTACCACACTGTTCTGATTATTGTAGCTCTGTAGTAAGTTTTGAAATCAGAAAGCATGAGAATTCCAACTATGTTTTTCTTTTTCAAGATTGTTTTGGCTATTCATGGTCCTTTGAGATACCAAATGAATCATATGAATTCTAGGATGGGTTTTTCTATTTCTGAAAAAAAAAAAAAGTCACTGGGATTTTAATAGGGATTGCACAGAATCTGTAGATCGCTCTTAGCAGTACTGATATCTTAACAATATCAAGTCTTCCAATTCATAAGCACAAATTGTCCTTCTTTTTTTGTCTTCTTTAATAACCTCATTTTTATAGTTAAGAAAAGTGTAACCATTCTTGGTGGCTGCTTAAAACTAGCTTCATAAATAAGAAGAGGTTCACAGGCCTGAGCTAAGGTCATGTCAATGTTCCCTGAAAGTCATGCCTTGTCCCTAGTACAAGCAGCCCCTACAGGGGGCACTTTCCCATTACCCCTTTACTTTTAGACTCCTGTGACTTCTGGCCTTATCTCTTACTTCCCACTCACTCCTGCCACAATCCATTTAGCTAATCAGACCTAAAAAAAATGCTAGTGGAATGGAATGCTGGTGTTTTGCCCACCCAGCATCCATTCTCCCTTCTTCTATGGCAGCACCATAATTTCCTCAGGCAAACACCTCTTCTCTCCAGTTGGATTCGTGTGCTCAAGCTCTAGGAGTGGGCATAGCCAGGCCTACTTGATTGGGACATTTTATCTCCTTGGTCACAGTTACTGCTCCAGAAATGGGCACATAGTCCATCTGGGTCCAATGAGAGCTAATCCCAGGATTTTTCCTGGAATGCCACAAAAAAAGGCACCTTGGTTCCATAAGACCGTGAGCAGTAAGGATGAGGCAAACCTGGAGGTGCCAGGGATCACCCTACTGGTCCTGAAGATGATGCGAGCCCAGGGCAAAACCAAGGTATAAAGAGAGAACTTCATCAAGAAATCATATAAGCACCTGAATCAAATTGGGCCTGAAGGAAATATGCTGTGAACCCTTCAGTTATATGAGCCCATCACCTCTTTTTGTTTAAGCCTTATATGCTTCGATTCACAACCAAAAAGGACCTAATTGAGTATACTGTAATCTAGCCCCTAATACCAATGCTATACAAGTAAAAAAAAAAAAGTCACTTTTCAATGACTCTGTGAACAAATTAATTAAATATTTATGTGGTCTTATTCCAGAAAGAATCTAAGCTGCCCTCTAAATTACATTTAATACCATAAAATGGAAAGTTATTAATTACAAAAACCATGTCAGGGTACAAGCCCAGGGGGATTAAAGACAACCCCAGGGGGATGGTTAGCATGTAGCTAATATATGCATGATATAGGGGCCTTTTGCATATAGGGTTCCAAAATCCAGGCAACAAATTGGTTCTGGAATTCCTGTCAGCCATGGCAACAAGCGGAATAGGGTTAACAAAACAACTCACCCAATTATCCATTCATTTCAAGAGTTGCTGAAATGTTCAAGAGCATCTAAAATGTATGTAGATGCAGGGGCACCTGGGTGGCTCAGTTGGTTAAAGATCTGACTCTTGATTTCGGCTCAAGTCATGATTGCAGGGTCATGAGACTGAGCCCCACATTGGGCATGGAGCCTACTTAAGATTCTCTCTCTCTTTCCTCCTGCCCTTCCCCATGCCCCCACTCACATGTTCTCTCTTTCTCTAAAAAAATTAAATAAAAATACAATACAATAAGTAAAATAAAATAAAATAAAATAAAATAAGATAAAATAAAATAAAATAAAATAAAATAAAATAAAATAAAATAAAATAAAATGTATGTAGATGCAGTTTTCAAATTGTCTGTTATAGTCTTTTCTAAGGGAAGTTTGCTACTTGCTTTACAAAGTTCATGGCCCATTACTAACATACAACAACACAAGTGAGGCTTCTTAAGGACAAAGTCAGCTTATTTATCTTGATGTCTCTCCCAGTGCCTGATAAATACCAGGCACTCATTGGGTCTGTGCTTCCTGAATACAATCAGAGTATATGTTTTGCTGCTGAGCCCTAACTAGAATCATGCACCTGTGAGGATCACAATCCAATCAGAAAGAAAAAGATCTCCCACAAGGGAGCTGAGTCATACTTCTTACATAAATCTTGTGTTTGTGACACGTTTTTAGATCTTAATCTAATATGAACCAAATCATAATGAGATACTTCCATGTACACTTTGGATAAATCTAGAAAAGGAAAGCTGCTCGTTCAAATTAAATTGTATGCTTTCTACATCGTATTGGCTTTGCTGATAATTCACTTACGCTAAATGTCAATTTCAAAACCACTGGGTTTAATTGCAAAGGATTTAGTTCAGTAAAAATAGAGACATTGGGTTGTACAGTTAATCAGAGAAATTTGGGGGCTGCATGAATATCATTAAGAAGCATCTGACTTTAGAGGGATGTTAACTATATAATTGCAAAAAGTGGGTCTGAGAAAAGCTTTAGTGGCATGTCTACTGTAAGTCCAGTAAACTGAAATATAGTAGACTAGGAGTAGGATTTTCCTGGGAAAGAATTCATGTGTTTGCCAAAAGTTTCATAGTATAGCATAGTGAATAAGATTATGGGCTTTGACTCAAATCTTTGTTCCATTCTTTACCAACCATGTGACCTTCTGGAAGTTTCTTAGCCTCTCTCTCAGTTCCCTCTTTTGTGAAACGGTGATAATAATACTTCAGTGGGATATCTTGAGTATTATTTAGCAAAATATTTTTAAAACACCTAGCACAGTCCTGGCATATGGTAAGCCCCAAATATAAAATGTGTGTGTGTGTGTGTGTGTGTGTGTGTAAACTAGGGTGACTGTGCATGTGGATGTCTAGAAAATAACTCAATGGAGGGGTGCCTCGGTGGCTCAACTGGTTAAGCATCCAACTCTTGACTTCGGCTCAGGTCATGATCTCAAGGTTTGTGAGTTCGAGCCCTGAGTGTGGAGACTGCTTGGGATTCTCTCTCTCCCCCTCTCTCTCTGCTCCTGCTTGCGTGCTCTCTCTCTCTCTCTCTCTCTCTCTCTGTCTCTGTCTCTGTCTCTCTCTCTCTCTCACACAGACACACACACAATGAACAAATAAATAAACTCTAAAAGAAAATAATGCAATGCAAATCACAAGATAGGCAAATCTTGATGAGTTAGCTATTTAGAATGGATTCATTTTACAAGATATTTGATTCATTTTATGAGACTATATCTTATACAGCATAGCTAGTTTCATTTTTAAAATAGTAAATGTATTGGGAAGGCCCGAGGAAGCTTCACATGGGAAAATAAATACAAAATCCCAAACCATACCAGGTAGATAGCAAAACAGCATCCCTGCTGTCATGGCCATACTTCAGACATTCTCATCAATGCCAGGACCAACTCGACTCCGTGGCCCAGAGTGGCATCTTCTCCTGTCTACATCACATGCCCAAAGTACAAAGTTACATTTACACCAGACAGTTTTGAAATAGGGGAGCAAGTCCCCTTGCCAGCATTTGCATCATGGCTGGCCTCTGTCAACTACATGGTGGAAGTGCCCTCCTCCTTACCTGAATTGTCAGATTGCTCTTGGTATTCAGGACTTTCCTCTCTGCATCCTGAAAGGCCTTCTGCAGTCTCTGTTCCATCGTCTGAGCAAACTTGCAGGACTGGATGTTGTCGGACTGGCTCACAAACTGCAGCACTGGAATGGGAGTAATCAATCCGCTCTCACCAAAGTTGTGTGTCTTAGTTCCTTGGACTTAACAATCACCATATAAAACAGCATGATTTGACATCAGAGAAATCAGGCAAGTAAGGACTGACAGGGGTTAGTTGTAGTGCTGGAAGTGACTCTTAAAATGATTTATAATAGAGAAGAGTTAAAAGCATGATCAAACCTGAGGTTCCTTGTAATGTAAAGGGCTTAGTGATCATTTGGTTGGATTATGCAGACATCTGCTCCAAGAATGATTAAAAAAAAAGAAAATGATCAAAGAAAGATCATGTCTTCTCTTTCTCTGGAAGGGGAAAAAGAGTCAGTTGGCCTGCATCACTAAGTTGATGGAGTCTTTCAATTTTGATGGTTTCTCCACTCTTGTGGTTCACCAACCACATGGTCAGAATCACGAGGGAGCTTGAATGAAAGACTCTAAGAGAAAGACTTGGAGATTCAGATTCAGTGGCACCTAGAACGTGTTGCTCCAAAGCACAGGTTTTATGGATGCTTAGCTCTTGTCAGTATCCACTGGAAATACGGGGGAAAAAAATTAAAAACACAGTACTTGTTGCTCATAAAGTACTAATTATATAAATTGGGAAGGAAGGCTCCAGCGAAGGACCATTTCTAATAAATCCAGGGTTGGGAACTTTAGGCTCATGTGCAGGGAACTGGACAGTTGATTAGCAGGGCCCTTTGAGGAAAGTGCACAAGGGCTTTAAGAGATGATGGAGCAGTTGGCACTGACCTTTTTAAACAGGGTGTCATCTTGGTACTGCCCCCAATCCCAGAACGGATAGGTACTTGCCTGTTCTCAGCTGGAAGTAGCCTGCAGGCTGGGGATTCCACGGGGAGGCAAGTACTGCCACTGACTGTAAGTTTGGGGTATGTTGCTTCAGATCTGCAGTGACGTTGCTGACCCCATAAACACCCAGCATTTCAATCACTACGGCAGGCAAGTATACCAGTCTCCCTTTGGTAGCATAATAACCAACTGTGACGTTATGAGAATGTTCCAGAATGTCCACCTACAAAACAAACGGACCCAGAACTCAGTGTTTATTTCCATGGTGCTTTAAGTTCTTGTTGGTATTTCTTAGAACCACAACTGTTATTTAGCAAGGCTGTGGAATACGATGTTCTCATTCAACAAATATTCTAACAGTTCTATACAGCACACATGGATTGGCAGGTCTCAAAATATCAGAATACAAAACAATATGAAAATACAATTTATATCACACCTACATGGAATAGAATTAAATCTGTGGGGGTTTTCTTTTCTTTTTTTTTTAAATGTTTGTTTATTTTTGAGACAGCGAGCAGGGAAGGGGCAGAAAGGGGGGGGGGCGGGACAGAAGATCTGAAGTGGGCTCTGAGCTGACAGCAGCGAGCCTAATGTGGGGCTCGAACTCACAGACCATGAGATCATGACCTGAGCCAAAGTCGGATGCTCAACTGACTGAGCCACTCAGGTGCCCCAGGTTTTCTTGATTCCTTAAATATCTGAGTATAATCTTATGAGCACCAATGGTCAATCAAGAAGGCAGACAGGAGACAGTCAGTAAAAGAGATTTCCAGAGATGAAATGCTGGGAAGAATAGCTTTATTATAGTTCTTATCGTTTATGAAAATTAAAAGGCAGAAATGATAGATAAGGTGGAGGCTCCTTCAGGACAGGGAGTCAGATAATAAATGAGGTGAATTCCTCTCTTTAAAAGCTGGCTTGTAGGTTGGTTCAAGGCCAAGGTTAGGGTGGGGATGGGCTATACAGAGTCTCTCTTAAAATTGAGTTCTAAGGGATACTGATGTGCTGAACTCTTTGTGACCCAACTGGAAGATTTTTGAGGCTTTACATTTTTTTTTTTAATTTTTTTTTTCAACGTTTATTTATTTTTGGGACAGAGAGAGACAGAGCATGAACGGGCGAGGGGCAGAGAGAGAGGGGAGACACAGAATCGAGCAGGCTCCAGGCTCTGAGCCATCCATCCCAGAGCCCGGCCATGAGAACTCAGCATCACAGGACCGTGAATCGTGACCTGGTTAATCAGGCCAACAGTCTCATGCCAAAGCAGCCCCAAAACTTATTTTGTTTTCTTTTGCCTTCTTAGTGTTTTATAACAGTTCAGAATTAGGTTGTTTTTTTTTTTTTTTTTTTTTTTGGTTTGTTTCGTTTTTTGAGTTTTAAAACGTATTTATTTTTAGAAAATTTGTGTCAGCACAAACTGAATGCAGGAGGATCAAACTCCACGAACCATAGGAATCATGACCTGAAGCTGGGCTCAAGTTGTACCTCAAATGACTAGGCCCCAAACTTCCCAAGGTGTTTAAGCCCTGCACGCTTCCCTCCCACACACACAATCCGACTCTTGCATTTGCATTAGTAATGTCGCGTGTATTTGTCAGAAACCAAAAGAAAACTGATTTTGGAAGACGAAAGACTGACTATGCTTTTGCCTCCTCCTGTGTGCTCTCTGCCCTTTGTGACCTAAAGGTGGTAAGATGACTGTAGTGGAACATAAGAGATACTTCTGCATGTAACACAGACACAGCGATTAAACAATACAGATAAGCCCAGATGAGAAAGTGACCAAATCCCAATACTTACGGAGGAAGTCTCAGTTTAGGGGATTATTTATTTTAACACCTCTCTAATGCTTGCTAATCATATTTTTAAACAAAGGGACACAAGGGACATCATCAGCCTTAGAGCCTTCTACAAGTAACAATGTCCTGAAACTTGGAATGTAATAAGCTGTTACCATTATACTCATTTTTATGATTACCTTATGTTTGTGGCAGATGATCTTCATTTCCACTTATGGCACTAATATCAAACATCCTTTCAAAAGAAAGGTATTTAAGTTTTTAAAAATGAGCTCATTTTTAAAAACCAAATTCACAGGGTGCCTGGGTGGCTCAGGTGGTTAAGTGTCCGACTTTGGCTCAGGTCATGATCTCACAGTTCGTGAGATCAAGCCCCGTGTCGGGCTCTGTGCTAATAGCATGGATTCTGCTGTTAGCAGGAGAGGCCCCCCAACCCCTCCATCTCCATGCTTTTGCAGCTGTCTCTCGCTCAAAGTAAATAAACTTAAAAAAACCAAACAAACCCTGAATTCATAACTAATTGTCACAGTGGTCTGGGATGGTATACAGAAAAGGGAAAAAACTGTGAATAGTTTACAAATGACTGAAGTTTAGTGAAAATTACATGTCAGGTGACCAAATAGAAATACTCACATTTTCAACTTTCAAATAAAGTTTCTGGTGCAGAAACCACAGATGCCTCTCATGAAATGCATTCTTTCTTTCTTTCTTTCTTTCTTTCTTTCTTTCTTTCTTTCTTTCTTTCTTTCTTTCTTTTTCCTTTTTTACTCCTCTCAGAATTATATAAAAGAGATTGACAATGACCGATAAACTACATACCAAACCTCATTCCTAGTCCTTGGTGTGGTCATGGAGACCACGAAGCTGAATGCAGCTGTACAACAAAACATCAAAGGAAAAAGCCAGAGCAATATTTTTTAGTGGTGAAAAGGGTTGTCTCCCGACTGCCAATCACATTTAGGGCTTTAAAACTTGGAATCAATCCAAAAGAGTGTAAAGCAAGGCTTCCATCACTTGGATATACCATCAAAATCAGCTTGCAGTTGTTAAATAGTACTTGGCATTAAAGTTCTTGGAGGAGAAAAAAAATGTTCATTTCCCTGTCTGCTGCTGGCTATTTAAGCAAAGTTGGACTCAATTTACAATAATTTTTAAATGTCCAGAAATAAATCACCAACTATTTACAATGCTGAGGGAGATAGAGGGAAAAGCAATGGATGGTTTCTTGAAAATTACACTAACAATATTAGATTTCCCTAAACAACTGGATAATGGGACAATTCAAAACAGTATATCCAGGCTTGAAAAAAAAAAAAAAAAAGATTAGACATAAGGCAATTAACCTCAATTTTCCATCTTAAAATCTGACCTTTTTCTCTAGTCACCACACATTAGCTATTTGCCAAAATGAAGAAAGATTCTACTTCTGACAAGTATGGTTACGATACCCAGGGAGGAGGAAAACAGTCTAGCATCCTCTGGGCCCAAGAGGAAGATGTGGACGGCTTAGTCTAATCACAAAAGCAAGAGGCTTACGTGAGCTGAGACGTCATTCTGGTGGAAAGCCTTCCGCAATGCCTGCGTGAGCCCTTTGGCTACATTGAACCTCAAGGTTTCACTGATCTGCACTCTCCTCTGGGTCAGAAAGAGAACTGTGGGATCAAACAGAAGCACAGTAATCAGGGTAAGTAATGATCCTCCTCTCCTCTCCACCCTCTACCTCCTGCAAGTTCTGAGTAAAACTGGTGAGCACAGGTCCAACCAATGAGAGCGGTGGGCCGGGGTAATAGCTGTGTTGGTCCCATTCAAGTCCAAAGAAGGAAGGACCTAGTACTTGTCTGACCCTAGTAGGGAGAGCTAACAGGCTGGCTGCACTTCATGTCTGACTAACGCTGACTCTGACTTTGAAAATTAGGTTCAGCAGTACCTGGTCCTTGATGCGTCTGCATGCAAGAAAACTCCTGTAACAGTGTTCCCTGATAGCCTGCTTAAGGGCAGGCCCTGAGCTGGGTCCTACGGCCTAAAACACCCCTGAATCAGGAAGATACAGTCCCCACCTCATAAGTGGGACAGAGACGGGGATGGAGAGCTGGGGTGGAAGGTAGGCACCTATGACTGAATGTGACAGGTGCTATTTGAAGGGAAGCCTACAATGCCATTGGAAGCCCCAGGAGGAGGATCCAGCTCAGACTTGGGCAAGGCGGTGGGGATCAGGTAAGGTTTCCTGATGTTCCCACTGAGTCCTGAAGGATAAGGGAAGTATGCTAGGCCCGGGGGAGAGGGACC